TTATGCTTGTGATCAAGAGTAGGAAAGGCTTGTTATCTTGTTTACCACTCATGAGCACATTTTCTTTTAGAGAACCGTTTAAAATGCAAGACTCCGTGTAAGAAATTTGATGTAATGTATCATTTTGTAATATCATTTCTCCAGATGTTCAGAATAGTCCTCGACTTGAAATTAGAATAATAAATGTGGAGTGGCAAGAGGAATTATCAGACCCCACATCACAGGAGTTCGCGACAGTTTCTACTAATATTGAGAATGAGGTAAGTGTGTAGTAGTCGATTTTAACGGCACACTACCACTTCGTTACTTGTCAACGTACATGTATATTCGATTCGGCAATTGCGGTAATTGCGTCATTGAAAATATGTTCTTTATACATATATCATGAGTTCGACCGTGTACAATATTCTGCAGAATTATCATTTGTAAATTGGTAGAAGCAGTGCTTTCATCTTCCAAAGTTGAGGCTTTGTAACGAATTTTGTCTCACCTCAAAATTCTCATGTTCAAGCCGAATTTTGCAAATGTCAACATGTTACTGCATACCTGTCCAGCTCATTCCCGGACCACTGTCTTTTAATTTCATTATTAGATATATATTACATTTCATGTACGTCTTATTTTATATTCAGGTTACTTTTCTTCTGTTAAATGTATCCGATATTTTAACATTTTTCATCAAAGTAGAGGTAATACAGTTCAAGTAAGTGCAATCATCATATATTTGTCTACTCTTAACAATTTGCCATACAAACCGCAAACTTTGCGGGCTTTTGTGTAACGTTTTATATTTGTCATATAACATATGTATTGTCCCTGATCTTCAATAATCCATTGGCATGAATGACGTAATCAAACAACATATCACGTGCACGTAGAATCCAAAAATCGTCTGTTGAATTAAAGGCACTGTAATGTTATTCTGTCACTAAAATAATGATTGTCTACAGACATGATAAATATATTCAGTTGTTAAGGGTTGTATTAACGAAGCATTAAATATTGGGTGTACATGGATACGTTCGACCTAAAACAGAAAATTGGTATGAGATGCAGACTTAAATACCTGCCTGTATACTGCACTGCACGGCAAAACTGTACAACGTGCACTGACAGATCCCAAATAATAAAAAAAAACGTTTCAGTTTCATTTGAAAGATGTACGGATTTTCAATGGAGTTTAACGCGCGGTTGTCGTCGCACAGCGATTGTTTGAATTTCATGTAAATAAACAATGTATTTTACACGCGTTGTATACGTCGCTATGAGTTCCATATCGAACAGGATGCGGCGCGACGACTGCCGCCCTTTAACTAAAACATTTTAGTGTTTAAGTGTTTAGTGGTCAACGAAGGGATGAGACAATAGCAACACAACAGCGTAGCGGCATTTTCTATCATTAAAATATTTCAAAACTATTATGGTCATAATGAAACGTACGCCTCCCTAATGCGAGCACACTAATCAGAAATAGCGTACCTTTTCAAAGACAAATTTAGTTATGAATATATTTGTAGGTCGTCTTATGCTTTCAAGAACATTTTTTGTTGAGTATATTACTATATTTACATATTATAAAAGCGTCTAAATAAATAGAATCATAACAAATCATATGCAACAAAAATAAACACGCATCAATTGTGACGTGCGTCATTGGTTGGTAACAGTGAATTACAAATCACGTAGTATATGGATGATATTCAATGAATGACGTCACCGTGTAATAACGTGTCGTAATAATTATATAATGGGGTTGTAGTTTTCACATGATGATAAATATGGGAAATTTAGTGACCTAGATTTTGTGTTGCACATACAAATAAAAAAAAATAAGTTAAATTAGTTGTAACTTACGTTGTGTTTACGTATGTATTCGGTCTGAATAAAAGTTCAGTTCAAAAAGACATTACGGAGTGCAAAATGTGCTTGAGTCATTATGAGTCACCGGGGAGTACATTGTTATTATTTTGTAGCATTGACAATGCCAGTGAATTTTCACACGTTAAAACTAAGATAATTTATAGAAACGACCGAAAACATTCAACAGAATCACGTCTACATTATATGGGCCTTGTAATTTGTATACTGTTTATAACGTCAACGCGTTCACGCAACGATTCCCATTCACACACAATCACAATGCACTGCGCAGCGGTCATTTCAACATAACACGTATGCAAAAAATAGACACACTAGAAACTCCTTATGCTACATGATGTTAATTTTGCGATGATCGGGAGGATCAGTGATGTGTAGATGGGTTGAAGCTCGTAAACTAGACAGCGACGGCTTGCTATACTCGACCATCTTGCTTGCGAGCTGTAGCGTAAAATTGCATTTTCGAGCACATTTAACTGGAATTCGTCGACATCAATAAAACGGGTCACTGTGTTTGCCTTTGGTGAGCTATGTTTATTCACGCGTTGGACATCGATACCCGTTGTTTCTCGCGAAGTTGCGATTGGCCAGACGAAGATTTGTGTTTGTCGTTATGGCGGTAATGACATTTTTCATATAAACTAAGAACAAATAATTATTTTTCATATAGCTCAGAGTTATTCATTTTCAGTTTTGATTTTAATCGTGTTCACCCAATAATTTCCCTTATTATTAAATGTTCGTCTCTTTATTACTTTTTCCGAAGTCATCATTCTATTCCTATGCATGGTACGGGGCCTTGATGCTCAATAATGCAATACATTATCGCGAATAATCAGTGTGGCAATGGTATTGACAATTCTATAATATAATTATTTTTAATGATTCTCAGAGTAATCGTTCAACGAGCCGCAATAATTTCAATTTTGTTAACTATACATTTAATATCTAAGATTCATTCAAAACTCATTCAAACTTCACTGTTTATTTTTTTACTATACCTTTATGATATTTTTTTATTTATTCCATTCACACTAAAGCCATGTGTGGGTTGAACTTTGAACTGAGTTTTGTTGTGTACATTTTTTTCAGACGTGGAAGTGTCATTTCCGTTTTTGATTTGATATTTAATGGCACGGCACCGGAACAAGAGAAAACAGCTATTAGCGAAATACAGAAAAGTGTTGTGCAAGACCAGAAAATTGGAGACTTAGATGTGAAAGAGCTCCTTGCAGCCACAAGCAGTCAGAAAAGTAAGTACAGAAATATTACCATTCAAGACAACATCGAGGCATGTTAGTTAGACTGAAGACATAGTATATAGAGTGATATAATGATTCAACGATCAACAATATGAATGTTACCTTATTATCATGCCTGTCCCATGTGATATAGCTCATCAAACTATCAATATCTATATGGATACTGATTATTTTATTGGTCGATGCACTGAAATGTGACGTCATCTTCAAAGATAGAGAAGCATGGCTCATTTTGATGACTTCGCACTATTTAAGATAACTGTTTCGAATATGATAAATATGAATGAATGTTTCCTCAATATACCAATCATTTAAGACACTCAGCAGCGTGCGTTTTAGTGTTAGTAGACGCATTTAATTCCCTCGGTGTCATAAAACGGGACTACATCAAAAGTTAAATGTTACTAATATTTTACTTTCAAACATTGCTTTCGGTAAAAT